GGTATTCATATTTCAATAATTGAGAAAGAACTGTTTTTAGCATCTAAACTTCCAAACATAGGGACTTGAGCAAGTTCAAAGTTCAGAAATAAATAATATATTCATATTTCAATAACTGAGAATGAACTCTGCTTTTAACATCTGAATTCCAAACCTTGCGACTTGACTAGCTCAAAGTTCAGAAATGAATAATGTATTAATTCTGGAAAACAATTGTTACATATATATATTTATAATATTTATAGGAGTTGTATATAAATTGCCATGTTTATTTTTTTCTTTGAATTTGAATTATCCAGAGTAACATCCTACTTTAACTTAGTGGAAATTATTTATTGTTGCAAAAATTGATGATGCTTTTTTTCAACAATATATTGCCTATATGTTCACAAAATTGAAGTAACACCAACAATGTTAATTATATATTCCAGTTGCCTGTTTAATGACATAAAAACTGACATACAAATAGAGATATAGTTAGAAACATGCTAACGACTAGACATCAGCATATATCAGTATTTCTCTAAATTAATATGCATTAAGAAATACGGACAGCCAGTTTCAGAAATTATTAGTAAATTGTTTACATTTCACACAATATTTGTAAATCGAAAAACCTAAACCTTGCAGCAGTATAGCCTGAATTCTTCTACTTTGTCTGAACCCAGAATGCAAAATGTAATGTATTATTTCAATGAACTTATTCAGCACTTATCCATTCTGTGGCTGTACAATCTGAATTCTTCTATGTGTTTGTGAATTCTCTTCTCAACAATGAACCCAGTATGCATAATAAACAATCGTTTCTGTTCTTCCACATTTGAACTCTCATCTTGTCTGTTGAGTGTGACAGTGAACTGATTTTCACCATTTATGGATATCCACCTATATGTATATTTCTTCTCTGTGTGAATAATTAATGAGTTTCTTTCATGGGATAATTGACTGTATATACACTCACACTGACGACAGTAAAACTGCTCTGCCGAATTATCTATCATGGTATAACTTCCATTATTTATGCAAGAACAGTTTTCAGGTTTATTTTGATGTCTTCTCTTGTTTAAGCTATTATGCCAAGTGAATAAATCTGAGTGTTCCTCTTGACAAGGTTTTACTATGTTATGTGTTAGCATATGATATTTGAGATTACTTGATTGGGTAAAACTCTTTTCACATTGTTCACAATGATAAAGCTTGTCATTGGTATGTGTTCGCATATGCCGCTTGAGATTACTAGATGAGGTAAAATTCTTCTCACATTGCTCACAATGATACGGCTTCTCATTGCTATGTGTTCGTATATGCCGTTTGAGATGACTTGATGTGGTATAACTCTTTGGACATTGTTGACAATGATAAGGGTTCTCATTGGTATGTGCTCGTATATGATATTTGAAATAACTTAATTGAGTAAAACTCTTTTCACATTGTTCACAATGATAAGGCTTCTCATTGGTATGTGTTCGTAAATGTTGTTTGAGGCTACCTGATTGGCTAAAACATTTCTTGCATTGCTCACACTGATAAGGCTTCTCATTGGTATGTGTTCGTATATGTTGTTTGAGATTACATGATGTGGTAAAACTCTTTTTACATTGCTCACAATGATAAGGCTTCTCATTGGTATGTGTTCGTATATGATATTTGAGACTACATGATGTGGTAAAACTCTTTTCACATTGCTCACAATGATAAGGCTTTTCATTGGTATGTGTTCGTAAATGTTGTTTGAGGTTACCTGATTGGCTAAAACATTTCTTGCATTGTTCACAATGATGAGGCTTCTCATTGGTATGAGTTCGTATATGTTGTTTGAGGTGACTTGATGTGTTAAAACTCTTTTCACATTGCTCACAATGATAAGGCTTCTCATTGTTATGTGTTCGCATATGTCGTTTGAGATGACTTGAATAGGTGAAGGTTTTCTTACATTTCTCACAACCAAAAAGCTTGTCATTGGTGTGTGTCTGCATATTCTGTTTGAAAATACTTGACTCAGTAATATTCTTCTTACTTTTTTCGCAAACCATCATCTTTTGCCTGCTATTCAGCATAATACTGCTTGACAGTATACCACAGATAAACTCTTCGTCAGTTTATGTTCTGAGGTCACTGTCCTGGTAATACCGCAACTGTGAAAAAAAACATACTTTTATTAAAGCAGGATGAAGTCTTGGTAGAAGTGTTTGACCTTTGTATATTTTTTTAACTCATACTTATGACAATCAAACATTGATATTTTGTTTATGTTGTTTGAACTTTGCTACTTCAGAAATTTCGCATATGGTCAGTACACTACACTGACTCCTGCATGTCAGCTATACTCTGGCTTTGTATCAATAAAATGATTGTGGCTTTTGGTTTGATGAAATATGTAACTTATATGCTTGAAAAAACTAACTGAAATAGATTAAATGAAGTCACCTACGTTTTTGTTTTGAATATTGGAAATAAAGAAACAAATCTGGCAGAGGTCCATAGGAACTACCTACATAACAAGAATCCAAGCTATTAGACAATTGCTTTTCACGAAAAAGTCATTTATGTTGAAGGTTGGTATATTACAACATGCATTCCCCAATATAAACAACGTCGGCTCTCACTCATTTCTGATGAAAGCAGACCTAAACTTAAAACCAATATGGCTGCCTGTTAATGATGCAAGACATCAAATCATTGTGTGTTGTTTAAGGTAGAGATGCAGGTTTGTGGGCACTTGGAGTGATTTTTTTTTTTGCATTTTATTATTCAAAAAGTTTTGGCTATAGACTGTTGAAATTTTGTAGAATTGTGAATAGTGGAACATACTCTAAAACCGATTTTAAAATATAGATATATAGAAGATAATATTTGGTAATCATAGTCCTAAATAACTATTAAAAATAGCTAGACGTTTCGAGCAATGGCTCTTTATCGATAGCATAGAAGCAAGTGTGATAACGTACAGGTAGAACATAGGAACGTAAGAACGCGCATGAACTATAAGTTAGAATCACAAAAAATTCCACAGTAGAACAAATAACGCGCCTTAGGTAGTGAGCTCAACAAATGAGTTGAACTGTTTGTTAATACCATGGGGTTCTTTAGTTCCAAGGCGGAATATAGTTTCCTCCTCGACACGCCTGAGCTGATTTTCGTTGCCATTGACAACACATACACCAGAAATAGACATATCTGTAATATTATGTCCACTAGAATTAAAATGAAGTGAAACCGGATAATAACGATTTTTCTGTCTAGTTTGCCGTAGATGCTCAGCAAACCGATCACCCAGTCGACGAACTGTAGAACCAATATAAAGTTTACCGCATCTAATACATGAAATGCAATATACAACATTCATAGTGATACAACTGAACGGATATTTGACCTCAACATCTCCCTTGGGAACAAATATACGATTAGTGTCTGTAATAAAAGGACAAGTACTGTAAAGGGGTTAATTATTCACTGGGTTTTAATTTAGCTTATTTCGCTGACTGGAAAATGCGCTAAATTAAAACCCAGTGAATATGTAAAATTTAGCATAGAACACATTATCTAAATGACGAAACCGTGAATTTAAAACCCACTGAATATGCCTGAAATAGTAAATCAGTGAAGTTTAAACCCAGTGAAAATTAATCATTTTACAGTATTACACCTAGGACGATTGCACGGGACAGAACCATATTTCTCAGGGTCTCCCCTTTCACCCGTATGCACCAATAACCTCCTTAAATTAGTGTCACGGCGCCAGGCAGTAGTAGGCATTAGTGGAAACGTAGAACTTGTCTCCTCACTGGTCTGTAAAATGTGAAAATGTTTGTACATAATGTTTTTAATCCTGACATTTAAAGGATGGTACGTAAGTGCCAAAATTACACGATCCTGATTGTCACGGGAAACCGTAGAACCAATACAATCAGTTCTTGACATTGACACAACCTTGGCCAATGCTTTCCCAGTGACATTACGAGGATAACCCCGTTTACTGAAATAATCACATAAAATCCTCGCCTGGTTACGGAAATCAGTATCATCGCTGCAAATACGACGTACCCGGAGTAACTGTGAGTAAGGTATGGAATCCTTCATTCTAGTAGGATATGATGATTCATACTGTAAATAACAATGTGAATCAGTAGGTTTTGTGTAGATTGATGTAGAAATGCGATCACCATCTACCATCTGTTATTTCTGATATCTCATGTGTGTATTGTATGGCGGGATTAAAGTTCTTCACAAAGTCAATGAACTGTAATAACTCATCCCGACTGCTGGACATGGCACCAAAGCCATCATCAATGTACCTGACATAAAATTCAGGTTTAGTGCCTTGAAAGGACGAAAAAATTAAATCCTCTTGATATGACATGAATAAACATGCATAGCTCGGACCAAAACAACTGCCCATAGCCACACCTCGTTTCTGTATATAATGTTTACCATTAAAAGAAAAGCAATTCCCGTTCAAAACTAATTCCGCTAAGCGCACCAACACAAACGTAGGAGGATCCTTAACTGTCCTTTTATTCAGAAAATGCTGTAAAGCCAACAGTCCATCAGTGTGCGGGATAGATGTATAAAGGGATTTTACATCCATAGAAAACAAAAATCTGGGTTTATCCGGTAAAATCTGGGTTTATCTGGGTTTATAGTTGGAGAGTGTGGGCGACTTCCAATCTTTGTTTCCACACTTAAACGTTGTATTAAGTATTGGCTTAGACTCTTAGAACTCCCCCCCCCCCCCGACTAGAATTCCCAGGCATGCCTATTCAATGTTGCGTAATCTCAATGACCTAGGTAGAAATAACTGGGTGACGGCAATTAAACATATTTTGTATTCATATGGCTCTGGGTATGTCTGGCTAGCTCAAGAAGTAGGTAGCAAGGACTTTTTTCTTTCTGAATTTGTACTGCGAGTCTCCGACACACAGAGGCAGCTTTGAAAAGCAAATGCGTCCTTGAAACCTAAATTACGT